ACGCTATGCTTTTCCTCACTTCACATGCCCAAAACTCGAGTTTTAAGCTAATTTTACAAATTCTCTGGGGAACGGTGAATTCTGGAAAGCTTCAATTAAGAGAATTCTATCTTTCGGATTTGGGCTTCAGGCTCAGAGCGAGGATGTCTTTGGGTTTTGGGCTTCAAGGTTGACGGTGGGTGTGTCTGGTATCGAAGGTTCAAGCTGATGAGGCCTTGGATTTCGTATGAAGGCCTTGGAATTCGTATGAGGGCCTTGGATTTCCTATGAGCGCCTTGCGTTTCCATGAGGGCCTTGGAATATATATTCAGTACTTATTTTTGGCTTGGCTTTGGCTTGGCTTGGGGGGGTGGGGGGGGGCTTGGGGCTGGTGGGTTGGGGGGGGGGAGTTTCGGGTTTTACGCTCAACCTTTGACCCTAAACTTTTACCTAAACCTTTAACCTTTGTCTGCAGTGCATCCGCCAGCTTGCTTCGCAACCTTCGCAACTGCCGGATCAACTGAGCTGCCGCTGTGCCACACGTCTCCACGCGGTGCTCCGTGTTGCCACAAGCAACACACAGGTGAAGACGCTGCTTGCCCTTGTTGCGCCCACGGACGAGTTTGCGAGCCATGGCTCAGAACTTCGCTCCTTGTGCGGGCTCCCCGTTAAAAACTTCCTGTTGTTCTTGCACAGTTCATATAATTAGATCCGAGCGGATTCACTTGCTGACAACCAACATAATCCAAATTTCCCCGCTCCCCTGACAAGGACCCCCCCTGTCCTGCATACATCGCAAATTGCAGTGTTTTCTGTCTGCCAAGTGCACGAAAACGCAGCGTCAAATATTCACTACGCGCGTACTACTACTACTACTACTACTACTACTACTACTACTACTACTACTACTACTACTACTACGACAACAATATTACTACTACTACTACTACTACTACTACTACTACTACTACTACTACTACTACTACTACTATAATACTACTACTACTACGACTCCGACGACGACGACGACTATTACTACTACCACTACGCCCACAACTGTTCCTGTTCCCAAGGAGTCTCTTGCTGAGGCTTTACAGAGAGATGTAGCCCGAGCCGTGGATTTCGGCTCTGTAGGGTTGCAGCGAGTGCTTCCCAGTGCATTTAGGGTTTAGGCAGGTTTAGGGTTAACGGTTTTAGGGTTTAAGCGTTGGGGTTTAGGGTTTAGGCCGGTTTAGGCCGGTTTAGGGCTTTAGGGTTTAAGGGTTTGGGTTTAGGGTTTAACTTAACCCGGAATGACCTACATCTTTAAGGACTTATATATGGAAATCAAAGTAAGGAAGCCCCAAAAGCTAGGCTGCTCAGGGTCAAGATAGGGTTTAGGCCGAAACCCAAAGCCTGAAACGTTCAAGCCCGCAGTACAAACTCGCCCACCTGGCTTGAAGCACACCTAAATGGGATTTTCCGAAAATAGGGGACCCCCAATCTAGCACCGAAATCATAGGATCCTGAGTATAAAGAGCCCAGACAATAGGTACCCCTAACTTTCGGAAACTCCTAAATCTTACATCTCAAGATAACGGCCTCGAGAGCCTTAACTGAACCCCAAACTCTTAACTGTGATCCCCTTGAACGCTGTATGCCCTAGACCCGAAGCCCTAAACCCTTGGAGGATTTCACTGACGATTTGGAGGGAATCTTAGCGAAGATGGGCTCGTTCTTTGGAGTGCAAGCTTCGCTTTTCCCCACCAAGGCCGCACAGGTTAGGTTTCTAGGACCCAGAGTAGGCCCTTATTCCCTTTTTTTTTTTTTGCTCAGGTTCCCTTATAAGCCCCTTTAAACCAAAAAGGGCACCCTTTTTATTGCTAGGCTACTCTTGGGTCTAGATCAGGGTTTCATATCCTTGTGTGGCCCTGGACCATGAATCTTAAATGCGAAAGCCTGATCGTCCGGGCATTCTCGAACCCTAAAACCGAGAACCCAAACTCATTTGATGTTGCACTGCTGTGGAACCGTAAACTCTAAACCCTAATTGAGGGTTTTTGGCATAGGGCTTAGGGTTTACGGAGTTTAGGGGGTTTAGGGTTTAGCGTTTATTGTCTCTTCAGGGTTTGGATTGAAGGGGGCTTCCAGGCCGGCGACCTTGTGCTCTAGTTTTCGGTGTTCAAGACAGAAGCCTGAAGAAATAATTACATGGTGTCAGGGTTCAGGGTTTAGGGTTGCAGCCTCTAAAAAAACACAGTGTCATACCAAGAAAAGCCCGAATCTAATTTAATTGTCAAGGCCAGCGTGGTATCTTTTTTGGGGTTTTCAAACCCAAGGGGCTTCGCTCTTGGCTCAGGGATGCGCAATTAGTGTTTTAATGCTGTTGGAGTGCAAACACCCGATTGACAGCTTAATGTGGAGGTGTCAGGTGTTCGAGGTGTAGAGTGTGGGTTCTGGGCTTCTTTTCAATTCTGTTTTGTCGATCCTCCGTGCTGCTTCATATAAGGCAATCGCCTGCTGCAGAATGCTCGAGAAGTGTCTTTTCGCAATTTCCGTAGTGATCCTATGCTCTGAAACAGAGGCTCTAAAGCCTCCTCGACCGAACCATCTAAATTCTAAACCATATCTGGGGATTCATGACCTACTATGCACCCTATGATTACAAGGGGTCAGATCGTACAACCTTGTAGGGTTTGAGGCCAGAGGTACAATCTCAGTTCCTGTCCTTCCTGAACCATCTTGAGCCGTCAGGTGGCACACAGCCACACCAACTCGCAAGCGGTCCTCAGGGAACGGGGATCGCATCAATTCACCTCGAAGGACGTGCAGCCAGGGCTGTGTCTCTGCCGCTCTAATAGGGTCTCTGATAGGGTCCCCTAAGTTTGAAACCTTCATTCAACACCAAGCCTTAAACTGTAAACCCTGATGGACGGTGGCCATTTTGGCTCAAGCGCAATTTTTCGAGAACCAGTATCAGGAGGAAACCTGATTAATTGACATGATGGCTGATCATCAACCCACAGTCGGTGCGCCTGAACAAGATTAAGGCACACAGGAGATGCAAGCGAAGGTCCGCGGGCCGATAGTTCATAATGATCCGAGAGCACGCCTGCTTGTCATTCCCATGAAAAGGTACACTACAGTGGCTACCACAAAATCGTCGATGCATGGGTATCGTTGGATAGGAGCAAGCGGTCGCAAGTCTTGCAGTTGACAGCCACGGAATAAGAAGAAGATGCCTTGCAGGACGCGAACCTGAGCAGCGTGGGGTCGCGACGGCGGCTGTCGCAGAAAAAGCTTCGAAAGGCGTCCCCATCTGGGTCTTGCAGGATTGGCGGGTGCCGCAGCGAATCCGAACATCTGTCAGGCCCGCCGATACACGGAATGGGCCAAAGAGCGATTGGTCATTTCACCTTCGTCACCCACGTGGTGCAAGACCCAGCTTCTGACACCAACCCCGTCTCGCCAGACTCGTCGCAACACCACACAGGTAGTGGTCGCGACGGAGTCCGACGTTGTAAAGATATGAAGGATCACCTCCCGGCCGAGGACGCGTCGTGGTGGTGCACTCAACTCGGGCAGGGGTGGCTGACAATGGCTTCAGTGTTGAGCCCACACAGGGATAAGACCTGGTCCGCCGCCGCTGCCGCGGAACTACATGGGCTGACCCCGCAGCTTGTTTGGGCTTCGTGATGCAGCAGCATGAGCAGCACCACAGCATAGAGCACAACCCTAAGCCCTTAATTACTGCATATGCAGCTGTCATCGTTTCTTGAAACGATGGACGAGGGCGGAGATGTGATGGTACATCTGGTGGCAAGCCGCTCCTTGGCCTCGCAGGTTTGGCTCTTGTGCGAGCACCGGCAGCGAGACAGCCATGGCAAGAGGCAGAGCAAGCGAGGACCGGCAGTAGTGAGATTCTCTGGAAAGGACTTGCTCAGATTCTTCCGGCGTGTAAACGAAACCGGAGGGCGGGGGAGAGTCCCGCAGAGATGGGCTTGTGAGTTTCAAAGGTGTTTGCATAACGAATATAGATTCTAATGTAGATACCTTGAGACGAAAGATCACAAGAAAGTGACGAGCAACGTGCAGAGGGATGCCTCCTCGGCAACCATGAGCTCGAGCGTAGACTATATGTATGCATAGTCATGACTGCCCGCAGCTTGGCCATTGTATGCGTGCTGGTGTGTCGGCCTCACCCAAAACCGTTCAAGGGAGTGTCGGGAAAAAAAGCTGTCGTGCATGGGTCTTCAGGTTCCGAGGGCCGTCGGCCGGCGACGCTTCCGAGGTTTCGTCGAGTTCGCGGACGCCACCACGATGCTCAAGTCCTCGCTTCGAGAAGGTTTGGGTGCCCCTCGTCAAACAGGCCCTCAGACCTCCCGTGCTGCTGGGCCGCTGCGGACTCCTAGAACCCAGCCGATTCCGTTGGCTCCACACCATCCTGGAGCTGACTGCGGCGGTGCTCTTGGCTTTTGTGGGGAGTGTCTGTTTTCCTTCTCTAGCAGCCAACAGAGCGTGGTTTCCGGGCTTTTGGAAGATTCCCGAGGCAGCCTTCCACGTAAGCCACCGCCAGCTCGCCGAGCAGCAGCAGGGCCTATGTCAATGGACCTCCTGGTGGCTGCACACATTGCAGCCAAGCAATGGGACTGACAGTGAGACGAACAGTGCTCTGTGGACGGAAGGAGCGGCTGCCAGGACAGCAGCTGTCCGGGACGTGGCCTCGTCTGGCATGCTGGTCTTGATGATGTCGTTACGTCGTTTCCTCGGCATTTTTCAAGTCGAGTGTGCCCAGTTTCTCATGGCTCACCCGAGGGGTGAGGTGGAACACGAGCCTGTGGTGGAGGGGAGCTATCTGATGAGTCGCTCTACATGCAGACTAGGCAGGGGATCGGGTAGAGTTTACCTCTGGCACGGGGGCGGGTATCTGAGATGGAAGCAATGGCTTGGTGGAAGACTTCCGCAGGCTCCTAGGAGAGGAGGTTAAATGCTCGAGTTGTTCAAGATGCAACGAGAAGTGGACATTGGCGGGGACCGAGGGACACCAGTGGAGAAAGATCGTCATGCTGAGGAGTGAGAGTTTGGGTGAGAAGCGGTGGCCCGATGCGGATGTTTCGCCTTCCCCACCGCACGAGAATTTTCAGCTGCTTACCTGCTTACCTGGAAAAGATGGCAAAAAAGAACACTTGATGACCCGGTATAGATCCCCTCATAGAAGCCTTATATAGACTCCTTGTAGAACGCATATAAACTCCCTTCGGAGACTGGTGGGGCAGATCCGGGCTTGAAAGAAGTCTTGCGGCCTTTAGAGTCCGAGGATTTGGGTTCAGGGTTTGAAATTTGGGGTTTATGCAATTTCGGATGGGGGTAGGGTCATAACTCGCAACTTTAGTCCCCCAAACCCGAAACATTAATCGCCGGAACGATAAACCCTTCCATAGATCCCTTCGAGTAACCCTCATACTCTACAACTCTTCAAGAAACCCTGGCAACAGCCTTGAAAGAACCGTATATAAACCCTAAAGGTATCAGATATCTGGGTGGAGGCCGATGCTATGCGGCACAAGGCGGGCAGCGAGATTTCACGGACGCACACGCTCTGTTTGAGTTCAACCAATCTTATGTTTCAGATCGTATAACGTAACCCCAAAAAGGAACCACAATGGAGACTATAGGTACAGAATGCTTCGGTGGGCTTAGGATTTAGGAGTTTAGGTTTGTGTTTCGGATTTGGGCTCAGGGTTTTGGGGCTTGTTGGTTTTTGGGGTTTGATTTAGGGTCTGGGGTTTAGGGGTTTATTGGTTGGATTCAAGAACATTCAGCATTCGCGCCGTTTGTGCTGCCAGGCGCTTCATCTATTCCAGGACACGGGATGTTTGTGAACAGTTGGATTCCTTCGGCGTTCACTACGGCGCCTGCCTGGGAGAGCATGACGACTGCGTGGACCCCTTACCTGGCGCACGGGCGACTCCTCCCCCGTGGATGAAACGCTATGGAAGCTTTACAGGAACCCAGATTTTCCAAAATCCTTATATTAGGGTATCGACCTTATACATTAAATTAGGATCCCTAATATGGTTCAATCCCTTAAATTCTAAACCCTAAGTTCTAGAAGGATCCCTAGATTCCTAGATCAAGGGGTGTTGGAAGGTTTGGGAAGCTTTGGAGCCTCGTCCATTGGCAAAAGAAGATCTGCGGCTGCTGCTGCTCATCTTACTTTATAGAGCTTGGGGGTTAAGGGTTTCGGGGTTTAGGATCAAGTTTAGGGCTTTAGGTTTTTATGGTTTAAGTATAGGGTTTTAGGGTTCAGGCTTAGTGACTTCGGGTTTTGGGTTATGGGGGTTTTTGGGGCCATCTTTGCCAAGGCGGGGAAATAAGTATGCTTGGTCGAGTTGCTGCGTAGCAGCTAAGTAAGAACGCACGCTTTCAAGCTGAAAAATCTTCTCTAGCACCGGCCCTTACACGAGCCTTACGGTGACAGCTCAAGCGGCTCTAAAACCCCATAAATCGTAAACTGCGACCCTAAAAGCCGAACCTGAAGCCCTAAAGCCTAGACCCTATACCTCTAAGACCCAAAAGCTACTGGAAGGATCAGGGAAAACCCTCAGTGAGGTTATCCTGCCTGATACCCTTACTTATAACTTACTTACACGGATCCTAAACCCGAAACCTGAAAACCCTAAACCCTAAACCCCTGGTCCTGTAGGTACAAGCCCGAAAGCCTCCAACAAGAGCCCAGGCGTCGTTTGCAAGAAAACCCCTGACAACGACGATGTCTACGTCTACGTCTTCTGAAGAACCGCCTTCCACATCGGACGTGCCTCGCTGCGCAAACGCATCTTCCTGAGGGTTTAGGGTTTACATATAGGTTAGAGGGTTTAGGATTCAGGGCTAAGGGCCCACGTTTAAGGTTCTAGGATTTTACCAGAGAGATCTAGGATTTTTATTGTATAGGTTTGAGACGCGATCATCATGACTTAGGTTCAGGGTTGAGGGTTTAGATGTTTATCTCCCTTCCCTCAAGCTCTAATGAACTTCCTAACGAGAGTCCGGTACCTCCTAATCAGCACCCCGCGTTCTCAACGTCCTCTGGGCTTGAGGGCACATGAGAGCGTTTCGTAAAGGGCTGGCCCTATTAACTGCAGGACTTGGGAGATGTGTAACATTCGGGATACCGGGATACCTGGTTTAAAGTCTAGGGATGTAGGGCGAGGCAGATCCACAGCGATAAAAGCCGGACGGGCTTTGCGTGATCCTAAACTCTAACCTCAGCCCAAAGCCCCTAAATCCTAAACTGCGAGCGCTGGGCCCTAAACCCGACACCCATCTGCAACCCTTAGCCTTCAACCCTAAACGCTACAAGCCACCAGCTGCCCAGACCTTCCAAAATCCTTTAGTTAAAGAATAGACCTTGAATCAAGCACATGCTATACTTTAAGGTATCTTCCTTAATTTCGGGATTGTGGAAGGTCTGGGTCAAGTGTCCCAAAGGTTCCAAGTAACAGCACAGTATATAGTTGTGGTGCCCAAATATCAACGAAG